CCTTTTTGTTTGCTTGGTTGGGTGTTTTTGGTTTTTTGTCTTGTTGCTATTTTGGTTTTTGGGTTTTGCTTCCTTTATTTTATGAAGTTTAACCTATTGATTATCTGTGACCATTAGCATCTTTAATAATGTAGACTGTCTAGTTCAAATATATTTCAGAGACAGGAAATGTTTTAGTTTCAGGTCTATTTCTTCCTTTTCACTTGTGTTCTTAATATGTTTTCATCTGAAGAGGGGGATTTGTTTGAAATATTTCAAGTGCAGTTCCTAGATTTCCACTTATTGACATGAGAATATCTCTTTCACATAACTTCTGACTTGTGATCACTTTAGGTCATGTTTATTTAACCCTGGCAATGCCTAATGAACATGATTACCCTGAAGATCAGTAGGAAAAAATAAATAACTCGCCCTGCAAATGAGGAACTGATTCTGTGTATATGGCATTATACATCTGCAGCATTTAATTTTCCTTAGAGCAGTGGAAGAAGAATAAAGATTTCAACAGCTGTACTGAGTAAACTTGCAAGAACATGAACTCTTAACACCTTTAAATACAGAGATGCTTACTTTCATAAATAAAATTGGTCTAAGAATGTCCAAAAAAACCTCAAGAAAGTTGAATCACAATTATTTTAATGGAATATTTATTGTAATGAACTGTTTTACTATACATTTTATCATATGTTGTTATAATTAATTTTAGAAAACAATTTGTTTTGTTTTGCTGGTTTTTTTTTTTGCTAGATATGGGGCAGACCCCAATGTTAACAATTTGTTAAGAGCTCTGTACATTTTAGGACATGCCTTGACACCGAAACAGTCATTACTTAAGTGCTACATCCCACTTGTCTTGCAGTTGGACAGCACTTTAGCTGCTTAAAACCAAAACCCTTCACTCCTCTCTTTCCTAGTTACGAACACAAACGTCTGAAATGGGATTTTCCACTCCTGCAGCACTAAGAGGCTTTAGACCTTTCTGGTATTATTCACGCGAATCCCTTAAGGCTCCACTTGCATACTAACGCTTGGACAACCCCGTGAGGTTTGGCTGTGGCCTGGTGGATCCTCCTGGTGCCTTTGGGGCGCTCTCAGAGGCGTTTTTGGTTGGTTTTTGGGTGTTTTTTGGGTGGTTTTTGGGGCCGTTTCGCGCTCGCGGCTGGGAACGGGCGGGGCAGCGCGGCTGTCGCCCTCTCGCGGCAGGAGGCGGGACCGCACCGCCCGCTGGCTCGGGGGAGCAGCTGAGAAACAAATGATGAACTCTGTCAGAATCTGAGGTATTGATGATTCTGAGGTTGTAGAAAGTCTCTGTTTCTGCCCCGCTGACAAAGAAGAAGCCATAATTGGTCTGTGCGGGTTTCAAGGTTGTTAATTCTGTTTATCTCTAACATGTTCTGCTGCCCTGCCCAGCTCTGTCCTGCAGGGCAGCGTGTGGGGCTCTGCCCTCAGTGGGATGTTACAAACATTAAATACTAGAAACTCCCTGGGCTGGATTTACAATAACGTGCCAATATCTGTCACCTACGTTGGACAGTGTGTCCCCAGCCTGAACCAACAGAAAAATGCCAACACCACAGTGAAACATGGAGGGCATGAAGGAGGAGAAAAAGGACAAGACACACCCAATTTCCTCCATCTTGTCCCCTTTGGACCCCTTATCTAGAATCCTAAAATTTTATTTTTGCACCCGTGCCACACTTAATTATTACTGATATCAAACACTCAGAGCTGGTAATTCATCCTGTAAGATTGAAAACTCTTTTCCATGGCCAGAGATCACAGACAGTGTCTCTGGGGGCTCTGTCCAGGGGGGTTCCTGCTCCCTGCCAGGGTCCCAGACCTGCCAGGGCAGCCAGAGGGAAGCTCTGGATTCCCACAGAACTCCACCACTTCCTTGCCTTTTTTGTTTTCTCACCCTCGGAAAATCAAAAAAAGGGACTGTTAGAGGCAACTGCAGCAAGTTCAATGTTTCTCGCTTTTCCGTGATGTTATGGAAAGGGACTTTTTACAAGGGCGTGTAGAGACAGGACAAGGGGGAATGAATTCCAACTGAAAGAGAGTTTGGATTAGGTATTAGGAAGAAATTAATTACTGTGAGGTTGGTGAGGCACTGGCACAGGCTGCCCAGGAAAGTTGTGGTTGCCCCATCCCCAGAGGTGTTCAAGGCATGGTTAGGTGAGGCTCTGAGCAGCCTGGTCTAGTGGAAGGTGTCCCTACTCATGGAAGGCTGTTGGAATTATGTGGTCTTTAAGACCCCTTCCAGCCAAGGCCATTCTATGATTTTATGGTTTTACACATTTTTTTCTGCATTGGTGCAGGTTGTGTGATATAATACATTGTAAATGGTGATTAATACTCTGGAACTCTGGAGAGATATACTAAAAACACTCACCTCTATGAAAATTGATAATATGCTGAAATAATAAGAAAAAAGAATCTTCAGAAGTCTCTGTTTACTGAAACGTGACATTAGAGTTAGCAAAGCAGATTCAACCTTGCTGCAAAAGCAGAATGATTTTTTTACATGTCTGAATCACTCGGAAAGGCTGTTTGTGAACTTTGTAACAAAAGTAACAAAGACACTAACAAAATGTTGGAAATACCCAAAGCTTTCTAAATCAAGTGCTTCATGTTAATATTTAATATCAGTATACATGAACTACTTCCCAAATCAATTTCGCTTTCCCTCTTAGGAGTTGAGAAGGAAAAAAAAAAACCAAAAACATCCTTCACTGCTATATGCACTGATAGTAGTAATAAGCTTCTAAAAGAGTCATGAGCTCTGACACCTAATCACTCTTTGTGATGAATGATTATTCAGAAGCGAAAGTCCTACCACAACACACATTTCATTTGAGAGCTGTCACTGCACCATGTGCTCTAAACCTCAGTTCCACAAACTCAGTATCCAGTCAGTTCAGTGAGGAAAAGGCACAGGCAAGGAACTATCCTGGATCTGAAAATGTCTCTGTAC